AATTGTAGGAGGATTTATAAGTGGAAAATTAAGACTTGGAATGAGATGAAACCTATTATGAGAAAGAGACTTATTCTTAACTATTATTATAGAGAGTTAATTAAAGACTGCAGAGTTTGAGCTAAGGTATAAAGTGTGCTGATAAGTACTTCAATGAAATGAAACTTGTTATGATTCAGGATAACATTGAGAAAAATAAAGAGTTTACTTCTAACTGTAATGATAACACCAAGGTTAATCCATTATAACCGAATGATGAGGGTAAGTCTAAATACCTTAGAGAGAATAAAGATATATTGACTACTATTAAAGGTAACAATGATACTTTTACTTCTTATAACCATGATATTAAATGCTTTTGTTATTTGAGTTTTGGTCATGTTGCTTCACATGTCCAAACAAAAGAGTTATGATTATGAAAACCAATAATAAAGTTAAGATCGATGAGGAGGATGAAGAGGAGAAGATGACATCATTGGAGGATGTTAATGATGTTTGTGTTGAGTATCTAGTCGAGGGAGATATATTTGTGATAAAAAGAGCACTGAATATGTATGTCAAAGTGGATGATTTAGAAGATCAAAGGGAGAAAATATTTCATACAAGATGTAATGTTCATAATATGATATTTAGCTTAATTATAGATGGTGGTAGTTATACTAATATAATTGTTACTAAATTGGTAGAAAAATTGAACTTGCACAATACCAAACATATCATACCTTATAAATTACAATGGTTGAATGATAATTGTGAGGTAAAGGTAAATAAATAGATTTTTGTTGTCTTTTCTATTGGTAAATATTATGTTGAGGTGTTATATGGCATTTTGCAAATCCAAGCTAGTCATTTGTTGTTTGGTAGACCATAATAGTATGATAGGAGAGCTGCGCATAATGGGTTGACAAATAGATATTCTTTTAAGATGGGTGAAAGGCCTATAACTCTTGTACCTTTGACACCCAAGCAAATATATAACAAGTAACTAAAATTAAAGATGAGGAGGATAGCTAAAAAGAAAATTTTGTTAATAATAAAAGTCTAAATCAACCAAGGGAAATTTTGTTCAAAGATAGTCTATGATTTAATGAACTCGATCGGTGGTTAGGAATAATGCTACACTTGAGGGGCAATCTTCCATAACTAAAAATTTTGTGTTTTCCTTTAAAAGATGACTATGATACTTGGAAAATGTTATCATATAAGTGTGTTTGAATAAATGATGTAAATGACTAGATTACCTGGGGAGTTATTTGAAATGGGCATTAGCAATATATGATTTGATAAACTCCTTCAGAGAAGTGAGAATAATGGAACACTGCTTCTCCCTCAAAATAAATAAGTAGATAATAGTAGAAGAATACCATAAATTGGGGTGTATCATTCGACATGGTTATTGTCTAGCAAGACTCCTAATGATTAAAAACCTAGTAAGGTTTTGATAAAAAAAAAAAAAAAACTCATCAAGGTTCTAAGCCTATCAAGGCTCCTAACAATCGAAGACCCAACAAGGTTTAAGCAAAAGAAAAGTCCAACAAGACTCCAACAAAGAGGACTTAACAAGTTTCTAAGCTTAAAAAGGCTCCCAACAAATAAAAAGAAATCTAGTATAGATAATTCAAAGAAAAATTAGAAAAAGGTCCACTTCAGAAAAATAATTCTCAGTTCTAACCCTGTCATCAAGAAGTCTTTATTTTTAACACCTTTAGATAATGCACCTTTTAGCCTTATTTCTTTCTTTCTTAAGGTGTTTTATAGCCCTTACCTACCAGGTAATATGTTTTTTTTTTATCCTTATCTCTTTCATTCTGAGTGTGTTTTCTAGCCCTCACCTACCAGATAATGTGTTTTTTAGCTTTATTTATTTCCTTCAGAGTGTGCAAGCCCTCGCATCCTATATAATGCAATTTTTAACCCTATCTATTTTCTTTTGAGTGCCTTTTGAAGCCATCACTTTTGACATTTTTGGAAGGATTGACTGTTTCTTAATTTAGTAAATCCATAATCTTTCATCTTTTCTTTTATACAAGCTTACTATTTAAAGTCCTTTACAAGATTTTCTATCGTAAACATTGTAAAGAGAAAGACAACTCTTTCATAGATCATATTAATTAAATTATGATCGTTTCTTGGTGAAGTATGAAAGCTTGACTTAGCCTAAATATCCTTGATAAGTCTATTAAATACATCTTTAATCTTTTTAGCCTTTGATCTTGTATATTTAACTAATTTTTATTAACTTATCTTGAAAAGGATCAAGGGTCCTTCTCTGGTTTCCAAACACCAACAAAGATTTACATGAATAGATGTTATACATGAAACATAATAAAAGCAAATAACACTTTCATACAAGCATAGCCTATGAAGGTAATATTTATTCACTAAGGTTTTTCCCCCTGATTTTTGCTAATTAAAGTCTTTCAAACATGTCTATTTACAAGACTCAAGGGGAAAATGATAATACATACATATGCATCTATATACATAAAAAAAGCTTGTTATTTAATAACAGGCCTATACGTGTCTCCCTGCAAGCAGACTTGGTTTTCATTTCCTCCCTTCTATCATTTTCCTTTCTAGTTCTAGCCTAATCAAACCCTATACCTAGGCCACACTCTCGTACCAATAAACAACATCTTTTAAACTTTATTATGTCAACTTGTCCACCAATAACTCTATACCAACTTTTATAGTCTATTACTTTTTTAACTAACTCATTTTCAAGCACCAATCTATTAACCAATAAAAAATATGACACACTAGCTAAATACTTTATAAGAAAATAGATCCTCCCCATTATATTTCTCTCTCCATGAAGTGAACTTATATGATCTTTAGTAGCTATAAATATCACAAGTTATCAATTAAGAAGGAAGGCAAAAACAAACTCACCCAAGCATATTTAATGTTATATTTTTTTTATTACTCTATATACACATTTTCATTACATATTCCTCCTACATTTATTAAGTTAAGCATAAGAGAATCCCTAATCCTGGTATCACATTTGTTTTGTATAGCAATTACCACCTTATAACTCTACTAATGAAAGCTTAATCATGTTAGAAGTTTTTTGCAACTTTATCACTTACACAAAACATAAAATGGATAGAATTAAGGTATAATGATAGAAAGAGGTGTTGCTATAGATATAAAACCCAGTCGAGGCCTGGCAAGTTAATCCAGGACCTGATGTTTTGGTCGAGTTTCAAATGGTTAGTCTGTAAATACTTGTCTTCATATATTTTTTTTTTTTATAGTGTGCATCCCATAAAATGTTTCATGAAACACACACATATATGCTTGAAATGTTTTTTAATTTTTCTCAAGTTGACTTTGAACTTGACCTCTTAACCGGATCAACTTATGAGTTGAGTTTAATAATTATGATATCTGTACTTGTAATAAGTTATTATTATTATTATTATTATTGTTTTTTTTTATTATTATTGTTATTTAAACTTAAAAAAAATATCAGGAGCTCAAAAATAGAAATACTACTTTACAATCTTATATATATATATATATATATATATATATATATATTAACATGGCATCAACATCCATTGTATATGTGTGTATATTTATTATTATTATATAAAATTACCTCAACTCTCCTTACATTTAAATATGATAGCATTTTTTATATTTTAAAAATTATACTTTATATACAACTGTTTATAATAATTTACTTACGTAAACTCAATTAAAGAAGAAATTTAAAAATATTGCATAATTATCATTATATTTAATTAATAATTAAAAAACCTTTACAAATTAAATATAACTTTGTCATCATAGACTCCCCTTATGCATAAGTTGAATAATGATTTACATGCCATTTGTCTTTATAGTTCCTTGATAAAATCTGATTTAACGGGATGATTATGCATCAAATCTTGCCAGATATTGAATTCCTTTTCAGCTGCGTATGGGGCCAGAAGATGTCCCGTCTATGAAAACCCTTGCAAGCCTATGTACATTTGCAGATATTTAAAGCGAACATTGTTCCCTGGGAATTTAAATTGCAGTGCCTACCTCCATGAGGATGCGTCCTGGGTCTGCAAGATCTTCCAGAAAGCTTGAGCATATCTGGAGCTCATTTCCAAATTCAAGTGCTCTGCTTTTTCCACTTCGGCTATTCGCTTTGGCTTCGGTCAATCTTATAGGTGTTTTCTCTGTCAAATCTGCTAGAGAGCTCATTCATTTATACTCAAGATACTAATGTGACAAAATCAGTGCCTGTGGCTTTCCATTGCGCCTCCAGAGGTGGAATCTTTTCTTCGGCTTGCAGTCCGTGGCAGCTCATGTACTCGCGATTTTCTTTGCAAGAGACATGTAATTCCTGCTTCAGAAAACTTTTGTCCCTTTTCCCACTCCCACGAGGAAACAATAATTCATCTATTCCTTGAATTCTTTGTGCTATGGAGGCTTTGGAGTAGAATTTTGAACTGGTGGTGGGGGTGCCATTATGAGCTGCCGAACTCTGTTTCTCTTCTTTTTGTTCAATGGCGTACACGTGGTAAAATGCAGAGGAAATTTTGGATTTTTAATGTTAAACGAGCTTTTTGTCGGCATATAATTACATATTGCATAAAAGTTAACCAAAGTTAATTATATATTAACAAAATAAGGATTGATGTGAACAGTACTACTGACATAAAGAAAATTTTGAAAAAAGCAATAATGACTTGTTAACAAATCGTTTGAGTAATTGAGTTAATATTACATAGAAGAGTTTTTTTTTTTTATCGAGATTTAAATCTTATATTGATCCAGTATATAAAATATAATTTTTAAAATTATAAAGGCTAAATATTATCATGTTTAAATATCAAGAAAATCAGAGTAGTTTTCAGGAATTAATTAAAGAAATCATGACTTCCGTCGCTTGTCCTGCTCTCCTAAGTTCTTGTATTAAAAGGCACTCAAAGTAACATGATTTTGAAAGCCACGTCGCCAAGAACAACAACTCATGCACAGACCAAGCTTGTGACAGATTACATGTAGACACTGACAAGGGCAATATTACTCCAGGAAAGGATTGGAATAATCACAAATCATTTTGTTCCCTCCTTTCTCCGGTTGATCTTCATCACCGAAAATTCAATACCAAGCAACAACCCCTTCAAATGACCTTATAAATGCCTGTTCGAAGCACACTACAATTTCCACTCAGCTAGAGGCCACAGCTGCTTCACTTTCGACTCAGAATTGGATACTCAAAGCAAACAAAACAATACAGTATGGTCTCCAAAGCTTCTTTCTTTCTGTTCTGCCTCTCCTCCTTAACCATTCTATTCATCGCCAGAGCCCAGGATAGAGCTCCTCACGGCCTTGTTTATGAGAAACCCGTGGCTTTCTCACCTTCAGCGGTTGAGTTCTTCCATCCCAAAACACGAGAACCGAATACCGAGAACCCATGCGCTGCATCGTCTAGTTGTTCACCGTTTCCCCTAGCAGCTGAGTTAGAAGATACTGATCAAACACAAGGTAAAATCTCAACATCCCAGAGAGGAGGAAATCAGCTGGGGGCTGGTGGTATTGCTGGCGTTATACTTGGTTTGGCATTTGCAGTGCTTCTCATTATGGGAGTCTACTATGTAACGTTCACACGCAAAGCCAACATAAATCGAGCCAATTCTGATCAACCTAACGCTTGATGTGGCCATCCCCTAATTAAGTCTAAATGACTCTTACCAACTCTCTCTCTCTCTCTCTCTCTCTCTCTCTCTCTGATTTTGGGCATCGAGTGTATATCTACTGTGTCATTAGTGATTATTGCGTGGTATTTTACAATTATAACTAGTCATCAAGTTGTTAATCATTTCAATCTTTTTAGTGTCTGTGTGTAACGTTGTTCGTTTCCAACTTCGGATGATATGAGTGCGGTTGGGAAGATAACATCCAATCCAAGCCGTAAAAAGTCCACTCACAGGATCCAGAATTTTAAAGTGTTGGGTTAGAGAGAAGTAATTCAGAGTCAAGCATGAACGAAACCATGAAAACACCTTGAAAAAGGGTATGCTGCCATCGCAACCATAAGGATAGCAAATCAAAAAACAAAAAACAAAATAAAACTCTATGAATCCACAGGAATGGTTGCCTATATCGTTCGACGATCTGACTGGATAATCCATTCCGGAGAAAATATACAAATAAATCTTTACAAGATCTCCCTGTTGATCATGACTCCTATAGGTCAAGTAAGGTTTACCCACATGTACACTTAACAATTTCCTTCATTTTTTTTCCTGTTCAGAGTACTTGAAAAAAAGCATGCACTACCAAATTTCCGTTTTCATTATATTACATCAAATTTCTTTACCGTATATAACTAAATTTTAGTTAGAATAGATGTGTAACAGCTGATAGGATGAACACCACATTTTGAGGGGCATGAATTACACGCATTTGATTTCTTTCATTTATTTGTGATAATGATCAGAATGGATTCAGTATTATAAATCAAGAACCATTATCTCATATAGCGTCATTACCTTCCACTTCATTTATTTGCAGAAGATGAAGATCCATTTGGGTATAATTACAAGTTAACAGGACAGCACAGAAGAGGTTTGGCAGGAAACCCAGCTGGTGAAACTCCATACACATCGCGTGCAGTTGAATGCAAGAGTGCAGAGTCCCATTAACAATTACCAAGCCACCTAAAACATATGGAGTTTTTTTTGTTTTCTTAGATTAACGTGGGTGTCCGGACCAGCTTACGCGCACCACGATTAATCCCACGAGCCCTGAAATTAACGACCATATAAGCCTTCAGTGGCCATCATATGAGCAACCAAGGACTCGAACCTGAGACCACAGAAGGAGCAAACCTCTTGATCCCAAGTCCTTACCACTTTGCCACCACCTAGATGGTTATGGAGTTGGTTTAATGATTACATGAAAGTCAACAATGTTAATATATTTTTTAGTTATTTTATAATAATTTTATGTTGTAACTTGGTTGGTTGAAGCACTCCAACATGATCGGTCACGAGTACAATTTCTACTGAAATGTTTATGATCCACATGCTTGAGTTTTATTGTGAGAGGTTCTATTAGAGTTTTTTACTTATTTTTACGTTTATTTTTTTTTCAATTATATTATTTAATATAGAATTTTAATTTAATTTTATCATTAAGTAATTAAGTAATAAGTTAATAATAAATAACTTTTTATATTATTTTCATCATATAATCATATAATAAAGTAAAACATTAGTTTGGTCAAATAAAGTTCATAACCAAGTTATAGATTTCACAAGTTGACTAATATAAGATGATTTTTTTTTTGTTTTTCATTGATTTTTTTTGGACTTGTATAGTCGATAAAATCACACCTAATTAATTTTCATGAGATTTAATTTAAAACCTGGGCAAAGCAAAGAGTCTGTTTGGGAGTTTTCTAATCTAAATTGTATTAACATTATTTTCTAGAGAAAGTTTGAGGAAACATATAATAACTCAGTGCATAGTTTAAATTATAGCAACTAAAGTTTGTGGGAAAAGAATATGTCAATTCATAGGCCAGGAGGTTCTTAGTATCAAGTTTCTTAAAACACATTCACGCAACATAAAAAGTAAATTTTAAAAACATTTTAGGAGTCCCAAAATCCCGTTAGATAAATCTAAAATTGTTTAGAGTTTATGCAAAGATTAGTTGAATATCAGATGTTTTTTTATTTTTTTGCTTTGAATATTTTCTTCAAGGTTAGGTTGTCATAAATCATAGGTTTTCTAAGTGTTCAACCTCTAATAATAATCCATATAAATCCCCAATAAGAAATCTTTTAAACCTTTTAGGAGAGAATGGTTGTTATATCTTCAATTGCTACCTCTCCTTTTTTTTGTGTTTTATGTATCTATGGATTCTACTCTATTTATAAAAAATAAGAGGTATAACTTCCTAATTATAGAAAAATAAAAAAAACTTTATAAATAAAAAAAATATCAATTTGCCTCTTAGATAATATCACAGATATTATTTTAAGATAATTTTAGAAATTTATGCAATCAAGTACCTGCTTGATTTTTTATTAAGTCTAGAATTGTAATCCTCTATATTAATTATATTCTAATTTTTAATTTATAAAACTTATTTATAATTATGTCATACTTGATTAATCATTTCATTTTAATTTCTGATCAATGGTTCTTGTAGATCTGACTGATTAGATTCGCTAATAACCCATATATAAAACATAATTCTAAATAAAATAGGATTAAATAAATTAAATAATTCAATTTATTATCAATGCAATAATTAGGTGATTTATATTTGAAGATCAAGTATAATATCTAAAAACTTGTCTTTATCTCTAGAATATTAGAAAATCATAAGTGGTTTGACTTAAACTTTCAGTTACTAGTTTCTTGGTGTAATTATTATTTCTTCATCAATAATATTTTGATTTAGAAATTATATCATGGAGTGTGTTTGCTATGTAAAATCATGTTTTTTTCTCAACACTATAGTTATTAATTATTTAAATAAGATTTAAAACTCTATTCAAATTTTATTTTGCATTGTGCAAAAATTTACTATCAATACTATTCAAGAACAAATAAAATATTTTCTCTAATAAACTAAAAGTGATGAATCATCTCTTAATTACTTAAATATCTTAATATAGTTCATGTTGTACCTAATATCTGCTCATTTATGACCTTTAATTAGGATAATGTGTAGTAGGAACAAAGCATAACATTTTATATATAGATAACTCGGTGATCTTAAGTATAAGGATCACTTACACAACTATCAAGTGAGTCTTTCCATAAACACATATGATCTCTCTATATGAAATTTTCATACATGTCAGTTTAGTGTACATATCATCTAACAAGCACCAACATATTAGTTCTAGATATTCATTATACCTTAGTTTATGAGATCAATTGCTTTTTTTCATAAAAGAAATAATATAATATATAATTGTCTTAACAACTCTAATTAATATTCAATCTTAATAAAGTATTAACCAGAAATACTTAGAAACAATGCTTTGATGCAATAAAAATCCTATCATTATAACAACTTTTTAATTTTCTTTGTAAAATATTTTTGTCCAAATAACTTTATCTTTTCTCTAGATTCATTAATCAAATATTAGATTCATTAATTAGATATTTGATGAATATTAAAGATAAATCAAGCTTTTATTAAAACTAAATATGTTTACATAAATAAAGTCGATGTCACATGTAACCAACTGATTGGTTTCATAGCATATACACTAACAATCTTTCACTTGCACTAATGTCAATCACTTATGTATGAAATATCATATTGCTTTACTTGACGATAATGCTTTTACTGGGATGGTGGCTTAATAAAAGGATCTAGAAGGTTCTCTTCAATATATATTCTTTCTATCTTTACATCTTTTCTTTTTATAATTCTCTAATCAATTGGAATTGTCTAGGTATATTTTTTTTATATCATTGATGAGACCTTGATTCCTTTATTTGTGCAATAACTCTATTATTATCACTATACAGGGCTACTAGATCAGCAATGCTAGGAACTACACCTAGCTTATTAATGATTTTTTTATCCAAACAACCTTTTTTGTCCCCTTAAATATAAAGGTGTACTTAACTTTATTTGTAAAATCTACTTTGATCTCTTATTTAGAACTCTTCCAACTCAACATCATTATTTAGAGTGAAATAAAACTAGACTAGATTTTCTATTTTCAATATCTTATTGAAAACTAGTATCCAAATAACTATTAATTACTAGTTCATATACTTCATATATCAGAAAAGCATTCTTAATTCATCTTAAGTATTTAAAAATATTTTTAACTATCTTCTAGTAATTCTCACCTGGATTAGAAATGTCATTTCTTATTAATAATATGATGTTTACATGTAATATTAAAAAAACCACTCTACTCTTACTAATCTTTTTATAGACACAAGTCTTATCCATATTTTTTTTATATAAAATCAAATTATTTGATTATCTCATTAAAATAGATATTTCAACACCTTGAAGCTTACTTAAGTTTATAAATGAATTTTTATAGCTTGCATAATTTATCGATAAATTTCTTAGTTTATCGAAGAAATCTTCTTGAAGGTTTTCTGTCAGGTTTACAACTTTGATATTTATTTCTCAAATCATATAATCATGGTCTGTAGCTATAACAAGAAAAATCCTTATGGATTTTAAATACTTAACAACAATAAGGTTTCATCAAATTCAAAATATTTAGTTTTATTTATAATCTTTGAAAACTAGTCTAGATTGCCTTCTATATCAGTCATTATCTTAAAGATCAATTTATATCTAATGATTTTATCCCTTCAAGTGGATCTACCATTATGCATATATGGTTGGTGTACATAAAATTCATTTTAGATTTCATGACTTCAAGTCATTTCTTATAATTAATATCAGATATTGGTTTTATATAATTGGTAGGCTCATCAAGTATGAACAACTTGTTATTTTCAGCATTTATGAGAAATTTATATCTTATTAGTATATGACTTATACTACCAAATCTATAGAATTCTTATGTTTATTGAGTTTTAGGGTGAACATCCAATATTATCGCCTCATACTCGGGTTCCATTTGAATATAAGTTTATGGTTCTTGAACTTTTTCAAGTTTTATTTTCCTACTCCTTTAAAGAACAAATTCTTTCTCTAGAGATGTAACATGTTTCAAGACAAACATTTTTTTTCTTAACAGGATGATATAAATAATATCCAATATTTTCTTTTTGATACCCCCATAAACTTATATTCATCTAACTTAGCTCTTAACTTTTCAAATATAATACGCTTCATATAAGCATCACATCTTAAAGCATGATAAGATTGGTCTCTTACCATTTCATATCTTATATAAAGTTTTATCAATAGATTTTGATGGAATCCTTTTTAAAAGGTAAGCATTAGTATGTAGGGCATAACACCTTGAAGCTTACTTAAATTCATAAATGGATTTGTATAACTTGCATAATTTATTAGCAAATTTTTTATATTCAAAACTTTTAAGCGGTGTCATAGACACATCTTCTTGAAGGTTCCCATTTAGGAATACAACTTTGACATTTATTTGTAAAATCTCATAATCATGATATGTAGCTATAATAAGCAAAATCCTAATTGATTTTAACATAGTTATCGGCAACAACCTATTTTAGCTTTATACATTTGTACATTGCCTTCCATATTAGTCATTCTCTTAAAGACCCAGTTACATCCAATGAGTTTTATAATTTCAAGTGGATCAACCACGGTTCATTCCTAGTTGGTGTACATGAATTCATTTCCTCAAGCCAATTTTTAGAATTAATATCAAATATTGGTTCCATTTAATTGGTAGGCTCATCAAGTATGAGCAACTCATCATTTTCAGCTTCTATAAGAAGTTTATATCTTATTAGTGCATGATGTATGCTACCAAATCTATAGAGTTATAATGTTTATTAAGTTTTAGAGTGAATATTTAATATTAGTGCTTCAGACTCAGGTTCTATTTGGATATAAGTTTATGGTTCTTGAACTTTTTCAAGTTCTATTTTATTACTGGTCCTTTAATGAACAGCCTTTTTTTCTCTAGAAAGGTAACATGTTTCGAGACAAACATTTTTTTCTTAACATGATGATATAAATAATATTCAATAATTTCCTTTTGATATCTCATAGACTTATGTTTATCTGACTTAATTCTTAACTTTTCAGATATAATACGCTTTATATAAGCATCACATCTTAAATATTTAAGTGTAATAAAATTAGTCTCTTACCCTTTCATATTTTATATAAAGTTTTATCAATAGATTTAGATAAAACCCTTTTTGAAAGGTAAGTAGTAGTTTATAGGGCATATCCTTAGAAAGAAGGTGGAAGGTCTATATAGCTCATCATGGATTGCACTGTATCTAATAAGATGCAATTTCTCCTTTCAGAAGATGTCCATTATGAGAGAATCTCATTTGTTTTAGATAATCTTGAAATTTTAGTTGAAGTACTCACCATCTTGATCCGATTAAAGTATATTAATATTATTTTCATTTTATTTTTCAACTTTGTATTTGAATTATTTGAACCTTCCAAATAATTCAGATTTTCATCAAATACACTTGATAATATTCAATACGGTTATCAATTATGAAACATGTATGTCCATCTGGCACAAATCATTATTGGTCTATATATATTTGTATATATTAGACCTAATAATTCATTAAATCTTTCACATTTTTAATTTAAAAAAGGGGTGATTTGGTCATTTTACCCAATAAATAAGTTTTACATAGTTCATATGATTCTCAATCAAAATGATCAAATATCATTTTTTATATAACTTAGTGATTCTTGTTTTGTTAATATGAGATAGTCTACAATGCCATAAATAATATGTATATTGATTATTTGATCTGTTATTCTTGCTATTTTTATTGAACTTGGGCATCTCGAGATAAGGCATATACAAATCATTTATGTAAATATCATATCCATAATAAATATCATTATTATAGAAGAAACAACATTTACTTTTAATAATAAATATAAATCAATTCAAACATGGATATAATATTTCTTGAAAGTGCTAGAATAAAATAACAATTATCAGGTTCTAGTATCAATCCACTTGACAAAGTTAATGTAACAACAATTACTTTATTACTTACATATAGGTCTATTCTTATTTTATTTAGTAAATTAAGCATGTTTGAAGTAGAAGCTTCAATAAGTTGCTCAGCCTTCATGATTGCAAGATAATCTTTGTAGTTTATCATATGGTGGCTTTCCTTTCCACAATAATGACAAGTCTCCTTTTCGTTCTTGATGCCCACTGTAAGCTTTTACGTTTGAATTGTAAGACGGATTCAACACTTAACTCATGATTTATGATAAAGCTTAATTAACTCAATTTCTTAAAATAGTCAATCTTCTTAACACATAAGTGTTCATCGAGGAACCCTCTATCAATTTAGATCTTAAAAATTCTTTAGAGTTCTCATACTTTCTAGTCCTACTAGTTTCATCAAACAACTCTTTAGATGTATAATTATTATATGAGCATTCATTTTTCCATGTTGTGTTTAAAGTTGAAGTGATATAATGACTAACATCATACATGTAGCATGATCATCATCATCAATAAAACATTAATAATTAGTCTGAACTTTATTATCAGTGTTCTGATTGAGGATAAAAGAAATTGAATTTTCAAGAACATATAATCTTATTTCTTGTTTAAGAACAATTCTTATATTTTAATACTAGTCTAAGAAGTCTGGTTTACTTAATTTATTAGCATCGAGTATGCTAATAAAAGATATATTTATTTTTACTCATGGTAATCTATCAACATATTTTTATAAAGATAGCAAGTGTTAGTTTCATTCATAAATATTTATAATCAAATTTAGATAAAATCTTTAATTATAATTTGATCACCAATTATATTCTTGCAAATTAATAATCCTCACTATTAATTCATAATGAGTTAGGATCCCATTTAATTATATGACCTCAAGTAACTCAATAAATCAAAATAAATTAAATTAAATAGATAACATAACTTATTAATCATATTTTTATGTGACTCGTACATGAGTTAGGTAACAATTCTTTATTTAAAAATATCATATATGTTTCATTACTATCTTTAATCTTATATGATCATGATAACTTATTTGAATCATATAAATTAATTAAATATGATCTAATTTTATAACATTAAATATATTTGATTAACGTTAACTTTAAATAACTCAACAAAATCAAGCAACAAATCATATTCTCAACATGTATTCACTATATTAATCAGAAATTTATTATTTTAATTAAATCTCATTTCATGACATTAATGATATATCATATATAACAATTATATATAAACATGTTTTTTTAACATGTTATTCTAATTAGATGATTATAACATATCAAAATTAACTTTCTTAAGTTATTAAAGGAAATTAGTTTGTCAAAACCTAAATAGTTGAAACAAATTTTTATAAGTATTTTGCAAGTACTATTATAACATATCAAAATTAACTTTCTTAAGTTATTAAAGGAAATTAGTTTGTCAAAACCTAAATAGTTGAAACAAATTTTTATAAGTATTTTGCAAGCACTATGATTATAGTTTTTTTATCGTTCTTTCTTTGTCTTGGATTACAAAATAGATTTTTCTATCTAAATTTCTAAATTTAAAAATTACATAATATTTATATAATTATATAAGAAACCTCAAATTACATTAAAGAGAAATTAGATGAAAAAAATAAATAAAGAAAAAACAAGGCAAGCAGGTCCTATTTAATATTATAATTATTCAATTATAAAAACACAATTATATTTATTTTTAAATATCAATAATCATCCATTATACCTAACAACACATTACTATGTATAAACAAATTTATTTATTTATTTCAAGATGGAGAGATTAAATTCTGACAGTTTGTCCCACCCATACTCTTTTTCTTTTTTATTTACTTCAAGAGCCCAACCACCTGCTCACATCCTTTATCCCATACAGAGAGTTGAAAAAGATAAACCAAAAGGAAAGGAGAAACTGGAGTTTCTACTATACATTAAACAATTTTGTCAGTAAGAGTCATGTTAGCATCGAAATCACTACCATTTCATTCAGTAAGGTTTATGCGTGTGCTGTCGTTGCTCCCATCAGACGGTTCCCTTCCCTCTGCATGCTACTATGCTTGCACCAACACAAATACTGAGGAATTGGTCCTTCATCCCCAATAACCCAGGTATGATTTGTGACAGCAGCGAGGGTAATCCTCCGAGCTGGGTCTTAATAACACAATTTTCAAGTCAAAACAGGACATATGAGGGATACAAATAAAAGGAAACATGCTTGTCCAGTAGAGGATCTTGCAAAGTCTACAGCCAATGCTGACAACAAGTAGATTTTACATACCTTTGCAAAGAAGTCCCTCAAGTAAGTCCTTCAGCTGTGCGTTCAATTCATCAGGGAGCACCAAGGGGTTGTTGACAATCTGGGAAAGAGGAAAACACTTGTTTAGAAATTTAAAAAGCAGAGGCTTAAATAAGAAAACTCGCATAAAAGGGAAATTTAAGTTCATTTGCTTGCCTTGTCATATGTATCGTGAAGCGTTTCTCCAAGAAATGGGTATTGCCCAAGTATCATACAGTACAAAGTTACTCCCACTGCCCATGTGTCCGCAGCTTTGCCATGGTAGGTTAGACCTGTTGTGTCAGAAGTCAAATCCAGGCATGATTTTAAGCAGATCCCATGTCCTATTAGCTTAAGCATTACAGATTTCTCAGCTCATAAAAACACCTACACACACAGCACTCTGGTGCAGTGAAAACAGGAGTCCCAGGAGATCTGCGAAGCTCATCATTATCATCCTGGGGAACCATATCAGAAACTTGTAAGAACCAAAAAGCTTCCAATATGGAGAAAAAGACTGGAAAATGTTGTGATATCAAAATATGTATTTCTCGTCTGCATAGAGCAAGCAAAAATTTTGCTATAATAAGGTGCTGGACCAGAATATATGCACAAACCAGATAGTACTCATTCTTTCTGCATGACCAAAACTACTTGTGTAGAGCCAAAGTCAACAAATGAGCTAATCAGAATCAGCTCATATGTAGGAAAAACTGCAGCTCCATAATACAGCAATCCAATGATCAAGCCAGCTGGAACACAACTTGCAGCACAACTTCCAAACTCAAACATCCAAGATTAAAAACTCCAAATACATATCTCTGTGCTTGATGCGTGCTAATTCCTATAACGAGAGCATGAAATTGGTCTCCAGATGAGTCCTGTGGTCTAATAGTAGTGATGCATGTAATCTAATTCGCAAGACAGTAGCTATTAAAGGTTAAATGTTAAAAGATCCCTGTAAGTTATAAATTTAACTACTTTCTACTTTAGATACAAATAAAAACTCATGTGATTTTAGTAAAGCACCATAAGGATCTTAGGATATACAAAGCAGCTGAAAAGCTAATCAACATCTTCACAAGTTGAACTTCAGAAAGTGCCCCAGCAAGCAAGAAGAGGAAAGGGGGATTAAAACAAGCAAATGCGAGCACAGACATCTGACAGTTCAGGATAGAAATGATATTTAAAACATTCATTAAGGCCAACTATTTTAAATCTTTCCTTTACATATTTTGGAACGTGATTTGACATGATGGTCACACTCATAATACAATGAATGTGAACTGTCAGATTTCCACCTTTTCATCTATCTTGTTTTTATTTGACAATTGCAAATTAGTTCTAATCTACAATACCGATTACAAAACAGTCCTCAAACTAATAATTTACACAAATAAACTGTTAACAAATATGAAACAATCCTGAAAATAAATTAAACAATAAAATGTATTCCCAAAATATTTCACATATACAAAATAGTCTAAATTATTTTTTTTTTCAAAAAGTGCCCTAATAAATTTACAATATATTCATTTAATTCTAGCCCAATTTAGTCCTAATGTTTCAGTACTTTGATATATTATGCTTGCACAATATTAAATATTAAATGAGAATGGTGATTTGATGATCCATTAGGTACCTTACATCTGCTATGTCAGAAAAGTACTTGAACTTGTAGTTTTTGGGTAACTTATTTGTTGATATTTTATTTAATTTTTGGGTTAATTATTTTCACTCTATAACTAAAAAAAATACACTTAGGACCAATACATTGTCATTCCTAAAATTAAAAGACCTAGCTATAATTAAGACTTGCAACATTCTTGAAAGACTGAAAGGACAAAAGATAATAAAAAAGAAATTTTAAATTTTAAACTACTTTAGAACTTTCTTGCATATGCTTAGACTTTTGGGACCAAAATGTACTTTTACAATGGTGTATGAATATGTTTTTCCCGTGAGTCAGTGTCATTTTCCATATATTTTTCAGTTTCCCAAAAACATAATCTCCACAGCAGATAACAAATAAAATTAACAACAATAACATTAAAAGAGAACTTTTTACATTGAACTTTAAAATCTTAGAATTTTGTCACCAGCTCTTCTTCCATGAAAGTAACTAACTGGAACTAAACCTGCCATGAAGCAATTTCATTACCTCAACTACCTGACTGATGCTGAAATCTCCTATCTTCACTGTACCAGAGTGAGTAACCAACAGATTATCAGGTTTAATATCTCCATGCACTATATTCTGTTTTTTAGAAGAAAAGACAAGAACAGTTCATTATATGCAGCAATCCATATCTGTCCATGGGAGAGATATTTGTCTACGGAAAGGAAATGCAAACACAGCTTCCACAAAACATCTTGATAGAAAACAAAGAAACTTCTAAGCTAATTCACATAGCTTCCATAAATACTCATTCATATAACCAAGTTCAAGAGTAAAACATTGGAAATGTCTGCATGGACTCTCCTCTCACTTTCCAGTCAATTTTTTTTTTCTGAAGAAAGTTGCTATTTAATTACATCAGAGTTCCAGTGAAATGAAAACAGTTAACTGTGAATGCTCAAATCAAAAGGAGATCAAGACTAGATCTAGAACCCAAATAGCGTGTTATTAATATAACAGGAACAAACAAGACAATCGTTCAAAGGTTGGTCTTGGCTAAAATTACTTATTGAAGTCACTATCTTCAAACTATTAGTAGTGAGCAAGTCAGATTACGGATACAGATAAGCTAACAAGAAGCAGTTTGAAGTTTCAAAAAAAATATTTGAAACAATCTAGACTTAGATCAACTATCAAATACGAATGCAACAATTCTGCATAATCACCAAGACTAGCAGTACATTGTTTTTCTTTTTCTTTTTTTGATGAGTAGGACATTGACAAACAATTTTAGAGACCAGATCTTTAAATGACGTCAAGCTTGTAGTACTAGCAACCATACTGTCTTTCTAGCCTTCAAACAAGTAGGGAGAGGGAGTTACAGAGATACCAGTGAGCTTTAAACCATTATTTTCAATTTTTCTATGTCAATTGCTTTTATTCTAAATAGTGCTACATGAAAAATCACACATGTCTGAACACAAGCTAGCCCGTTTGGTAATGAACTACTTGATAAGAAACACTGAAAAGTGGAAGAGCAAAACACAAAAAATGATTCTAATAGTCATGCACCCACAAAATAAAGTAGACCAGTGAATAATCAGTTAAACCTATACTGATAAAAATATCCAAAAAAAGTGAGCTATCAAGTTCATACATGGGCATGAAGATACATAAGCCCAGATACAACATCCCTCAGGTACTTTCTAGCAGTATCTTCTCCAATTCCACCAGGAGGACCAGATCCATCCCACACTCGTTTTCCATCCACATATTCCAGAACTGAGAAAAGAAAAGACATTTCCAGTCAATTAAAAAGATATCATCCTACTTCTTCATAAACATTTATTTAACACAAAATCAAGATTGTGAAATTGAGCACACTGATAACGAGCATAATCAAATGGAAACGTTAACAAAAAAGAATGTAGTTATGTAATACCCATGTAGAAGTGGTCTGTAGTTGGGTCATCAATCACCTCGATGAGATTGACAATGTTAGGATGGTCAACCATTTTCATGATTAGAACCTGCAAGGAAAAAGGAAATAATTTATTTTACTTCATTCGACAGTGCTTCATGTCAAATAGCTAAGCAGATCAATTAATAGCATAGACGTGCAAAGGAACAACCAGATATGTGTTAAGGATCTTCCTTAACAAGTACAAGAATGGGGTTCGAGAAGATAAAAAGAATAGGAGGTAAAGAGAGAAATACTTCTGCAATTACAGAAATGGCAATTCAATCATTACTCCCCCTCTAAGCTTTCACAGTACAAACGGACTAACAGATTAAATAACTTGATAGCTGTCACTAACCAACTCCAACTAACATTCAATCATGTGGATTTATTATATGCACATGCTGCAATTCTTCTTCTGCTAACTGTCTTGCCAATACTGCACTGTCAATGGCTAATACTAGGATTCTTCATTCCTGGTGTCCTAAAAATATGATAAGCACTAGGCTATTAGAAAAATAAAAATGGAATGTTAAATCAAATGGCTACATCTAGTACTGTTAGCTTTTTGTAAGCTGTTGTGATGGTGGATCATTTCTCATCACTTCAACCTCTTTTGTCCACCACCCTCGCCTTTCTCAATAGTTCAATTTGATTGCTCTTCCTCACTAGGGCATCATAGGTCAACATTGGAGTAGACAAACCATGTCAAATAACTATCCTCAATCAGGTACCACCTCCAACTTCTCATGGATGTACTCATTTTGATGCAGACAACAAAGAGAAGTTAATGTGTTTTTTGTTGACAAGGTAGTTTTGTAATTTCCAGAAATTCTGGAAAAATTGTCTAGGTCTAGGTTTTATGTTATATATTTAGCATTCTATCAAAGTAATTAGCTTTATTGGGCCTTTTCTATTCTAAATAGATTTCTTACTTAGGAAATAAGTCCTTGTTAGACTAGGAGTACTAGCATGTCTATATAAGGATTATGTATTCTAATGACAGTCGATGAATTAAATTACAGCAGTCTGGTTTTGATTTTGTGACTCAATCTCCCCTTAGATGTGACTCCTACAAAACCTTAAATGTGAAGCTTAGGTTTTTCTATTCTCTAGGTGTAACTCATAGACTCTTTCTTATCCATGTCATTGTTTACAACAACACACATCCACAACTACTAATCTATATTGTGCGAGGAGCGCCCTCCCATAGGATAACCTTACACTGATTGCAAAATGTACAAGCAATTGTACATGCAATTGAAAAAAAGGTCTCTTGGTTGCAGCTTCTTTGGACACAAACTAGATCAATTGCATTTATGCATGGAATAGATTCTGAAGAGAGAACAAGTTGAATTGATTATGTGGGATCTAGTAGAATTTCCAAATAGCCCACCTTTTATCAAAATATCATGAGAAAAAGCATAGATCCACCAAATCGTCCATAACTTCAGTTAAAATAACTTCCAACCATTCACACCTTAGAGTAAAGTTCGATGATTACTTAAAGTATGGATTTCAAATTAATACTTTTTGAGGCTCAAAACAAAATAATTTGTTGCATCGAATTCGATCCAATTAAATTCCATGCTTTTAAACATGTTTGAAAAAGGGTTGTTAGAATAGGCAACCAATTGAAGTTCCCTCTTTGTAAAGCAAGTGTTTGCCAAGAATATATATAACAGGGTTGGGTTGATTGAAGAGAAGATAAATATGTTATCCCTGCATCATAAGCCAAAACAAACTCTAAAATAGCATGGCCTTCATCATTCACATTCTTGAATCTATTGGGCACACTCCATGCCATTGTTAATGATTCACACATGACCATTGAAGTCTCCATTAGTTAATTATTTTTCCTTATTACATATCTTTGCTAGGCATCCTTTAAGAGTGTCAACTATCAAGTAGTAATAATTAAACATGTTGCAACCTTCGAGATTCAATCATGACTACAGGCTAAATCATTGACCATTTTGTTTGACATATGTATATCTATTAATTTGGTTTTAATACATGCTGTAATGTGTTTGGATTAGGACTCCCTTTGTCACCGTTTAACACCGAATCTCCACTGTTTTGACCACCAAATCATTCGAAAAAATCACACGAATAATCCTTTCAACCTCACAAACAATATTTAAATATCAAAAACCATTTCTAAACTCCAATCAAAGTCAAGAATTTGAGTTTTAAATTTTTTATCAGAAATTCCTAAGTATCAAAAACATTCAAATCCAATGAAAATTAGGTTTAAGATTGGTAATGTACTTGATAAACCAAACTTTTTTATTTGGTAGTGGTCTTGCTGCCAATGGTGATTGGAACCTAAAAAAGAGGCCCCTATCCAAACACCTCATGGTTCAGGTATTAAAATCAAAGAAAAAAAAATTATGAGTTCCAAATCAAACAGTCAATAGTTCTGGGGTCTTTATATGTTTTTAGCCCATGATTACAAGCAAAATAAAGAGCCTTATGCAACCTACTGTGCAGATTACAATAACCACACCATTTTAAATACTAACATGAACCTGGTAAGTAAGGTGATGCAACATCAAGTATAAAAAAATTCAAATCCGATGAAAATTGGGTTTAAGATTGGTAGAATGTACACAATAAACAAACCTTTCATTTGGTAGTGGTCTAGCTGCTAATGGTGGTCGGAACCTTACAGAGGGGTCCCAATATAAACAACTCATGGTTCAGGTATTAAAATCAAATAAAAAAAATAATGAGTGCCGATCCAAATAGTTGATAGTTCAGGGGGTCTTCATATGTTTTAACACATGACTACATGCAGAATAAAGAGCCTTATGGAACCTATTGTGCAAATTACAATAACCACCTTTGTAAATACTATCATGAGTCTGGTAAGTAAGGTGATGCAACCCTCCCTCCCTAACCTATAATTTTGTTAGGATAAAGCCAAAGCGTTTTCCCCAAAGGTTGATATTTTGGTAATGCAAATTCTAATAACACCAGAGACCACAAACCGAGTAAGAAAATACCTCACGAAGTACATCAGACATTGCAGTCTCTGAAGGAGCAACCCGCAGCTTCAACAAATGAGACTTATGAAAGGCCTGCAATTAGCAGAAAAAATACATATATCCATGAGAAATAAGAGGTGTTGCATACCATCATTAACTCAGAGCTAAGCTCACTTTCGTACTTCAAAAGAATAGAAAGGAAAATTTTCCACAATTTAACAATAAAAAACACAAACTTATCCAAATTTCATTAGAAAAGACCTGACCTGCTGTATCTCTCTCCCTCTCTCCCCCCTCTCTCAAAGTCATTGGTAACCATCATTAACCGAGAGTTAAGCTCACCTTCTTACTTAAAAATAAATAAAGAAAAGAAAAGAAAATTTTCCGCAATTTAACAAAAAAAAAAAACCACTAATTTTTCAAAATTTAACAAAAGAAAAGACATGACTACTGCTTTTATAAATAGTTGTTACTACTTTATCCACCATAAAAAACAGGTTCAGATTCAAACAAAAACACTACCTTAATTGCATAATGCTTTCCATCTATACTGCTTCGATACAAAACCTGTTGCAAAAACAAGGTTAAAAAGCTAACAAACTACTTTCTAAACCAATTTGGGAAAAAAGAATGCCTCCCCACATTATGCTTACCACTTTACCATAGCTACCAGCACCAATCTTATACTCGCGAACATATTCATTGACCATCTTATTACCATTTTCATCCTGAAAAGCATTTTAAGGAAGCAATGAAGCAAGAACCGTGTCTTGGAAATGCAAGTCATATGCGCGGTAATAACACCTACAAGCTACACATGCATGCACAGTCACAAGATTATAAGCAATTCCACATTAAGCAAGGTGGGGAAAAAGAGGGAATTGGTGCAAAATAAATAAAAAGCAAATTCAAATGAAATATGATTACCTCAGAGGGAACAAGTAGATGGGTTTCCTTGACAGGATATTGCCTGCAAACCAATCCATTCAGCTCCCTAAGTCTTAAAATCTCTTCAGAGCGCTTGGCACCATTGGGCACCTCAGCATTATCACAATAACTAGTGCCAGTAATATCACCATTAAAAGAAGCATCATCCTCCCCATCATCATTATCATCAATTTCACCATTTAACAAAAGTTCCTGGGAGAGATTATTGATATTGTTGTGATTATAACTCCTCCCGCCGCTAGAAATGGGCATGGGTCTTTGCTTGGGCTTCCTGAGGAAACCAAAACAGCTACAACAATCCATTGCTCTAGCAAAGGAATAGCTCTTACGAAACTTTGATTCTCATCAGAAAAAACAAGTTTCAGAACCTGTAAGATAAGAATTGAGAAGCTGGAAATAAATTTCAGATCAGATTTGGTATTCTTCCAAAGGATACCAAAAGATAGCTTATACTAACATTATTCAATAACCAACCAAACATCCTCCTGATTTTGATTACACTCAACAAAGTTGACATTTTCTCCAATAAAATAATTAACAATAAAAACACAGACAAAACTTGTGTTTATTTCTCACTATCGAACACAGCATCACTAAGGAATTTTTTAATACAAAACCCTAATTTCGGGTCGAAGAAGATGGGATTTGGGGTTTGAAACACTGATTTGGTGAAGATTAATAATACTAATATTTACCGCATTAAATATAAAAAAAAACACCAGATAGAGAGAAAGAGAGAGAGACTGAAGGAGCTGAAAGTGATGTTTTAGGCTGTTGGAGACAAAAATAGGATGTTTCCTTTGTCAATTTTCTGTTTTTTTAAAGCATGTCCCGACTGCACTGAATCTTATAATCTATTTCTAATAATATTTCAGTTTCAATCTTTTTCAAAAATTAAAAATTAGAAAAATTAAAATTAAAACTTTTTATTTAAACAGAATATCTTTTCATTTAATAAAATTGAAAAGCTAATTTTTCATTTTTGTACTATCTTTGTAAACACATTTTAGAAGTTCTCCATGATTGTTTTTACAAGTTTCTTACTATTTTTTAAAATAAATAAATAAATTTCTCCTAATCGTTGCTTATGAGTTTCCTCCATAGAGTAAAAGATTACCCCCCTACAACTACACGCTACAGTTTCAATAAGCTTGAAACTTGAAAGGGTAGTGTATTGAGTTAGATTGGTCGTTGTTGTTGATGTTCTGTTTTGTTTTTTTTTTTCCTTTGCACTCTTGTTTTGTAAATTTTTTTTTATTGGTTTTGGTTCTGTTTCTTTTTATGTTTTAAAACTATTTTTGAATTTTTATTTTAAATTAATATTTTAATATTATTTTAATATATTAATTTAAAAAATAAAAAATATTATTTTAATATATTTTAAATAAAAAACAACTTAAAAAATAACAATTACAGCATAACATACAAAGTCTTTCAGGCATTCTCTACTGGTCATGTATATTCCAAAGCGGCACAAGTACGAGTTACTTCTCATTAAACACGCGAAGGACCATCCTCTTTGTTTTTGGTCACCGGTCCATTAAATAATTGCCAAAGGAATTGTAACTTATTTATTTTTGTATTTTAAAAATATTTTAAAAAAAAAATATTTTTTTTTATTTTTTACTTCAAATTAATATTTTTGATATTTTTAAATTATTTTGAAATATTAATTTCAAAAATAATTTTTAAAAATAAAAAAAAAATATTATTTTAATATATTTCTAAATTAAAACTATTTTAAAAAATAACAACAACCACATTTTCAAGTTTCAATAAACAGAACAATGCAAAATGTCAATTTTAGATAAGACAACTTCACTCCTTTTTTTTTTTTTAATCATGAATGTTCGGATCATTTTCCTTTCTTGTTTCCAAGTGTAAGTAGTTTATATCTAAATCTGAACTTGTTTAAGGACAGATAATTTATTTTGTCATTACTCATCATTTTTTTCTTTCTAAATGTGAGTTATTTTATTTTATGTTAAAAAGAATCCATCTGGACAAATAATTTAGAGGTGAGTTAAGACAATGATTGAACTTATCTATTTGTTGAAAGTAAGAGTGACAATTGAAAAAACATTTAAGCTAAGAATTAGTTGTTTAAAAGCAAAAGACTCTAACATGGTGTAAGGTGGAGCTAAGGTGTTAGGTGGAGCTGAGTATTTTTTGTTCAATCAGGTTTTGAATCAAAATAAATAATTAAATTAAAATTATTTGTTTTCAAGTTTTTAAATCGAATCAAAAATGAAAATCGGTTTGAATCTTCCACTTTCAATTCGGTTCAGTTTTTTCCTTTCCAAACTTTTTCAATTCGATTCGCTAGCTTAGAAATTTAAGAAATGATGTAATTTCTATATAAGTAGCTCATAGTTTTCAAAAAAAAAAGGTTTGCTTTTAGTAACACAATCCTTTTCAAAAAGACCTGCTTTGGTGCTCATGAGCATCTTATCATGAAAAGCAGATACAATGCCATAAATTAAGTTCCTTAACACATCAACCATGGCATAAGCTTTTGCACGTAGAGGACTGCCTTTTTTTTTTGCTGCCACAACATCTCTTCTTTGTTGTGCTTGGAGTATTCCATTTAATAGTAACTAGCTTCATCAACTTGTTGGGGTTACAAGCTTGTCTTCTTTCCCATTAAAGCTTCAATAGCAATTGAAAAGGCTCCCTACAAGTGAGTCATGGCTCATTTGAGTCAAAAAGTTAGTGTATTCGAGTTTGATAAAGAAAAAAATAGTCGAGAAGGAGTCTGCAAGGTTTTTCGAGTAGGTGTGTGCGCCTATGCATATGTGGAGAGCGGGGTGTGGGGGGGGGCTAGCTGGCTAAGATCCGAAGAAGGTTTTCCTAGATTCTGATAGAGAGATGAACAAGATGGAGTAGGGCAGCGACGGCTTGGTTTATTCAGTTTCAGCATTTTAAAACCAAAACCGAACTAAATAAATTGTTTTTTAATTTTTCTAATAGATTTTTTTCATGATTCGATTTTTTTAATTATCTTGGTTTAATTGGTTTTTCAGTTTTTTTTACTCTCCCCTAATGCCAGAATTCGATTACACTTCTTAAAAGAAACTAAGCCATATCTAGAAACCACCGTAGCATTTTTCATTATTTATTCCCTCACATGTCGTGCTTTTTTAAAAGAATTTTAGTTTAGTTCTTAATTATTATTTTTTTATATAATTGAGATATTTTGAGTCCAAATCAATATATAATTATATATTTTTTTTTTAAAAAAAGGTTGGATTAAAAGTCATGAGACCATAGTAAAAATAGCAGGTAAAATAGGTTCAAATCAATGACAATGGGTTCCATTTCATGAGAGTAGTTTTATTTAGATGTTTTTTTCCTTTTACTTGTCTGAGGAGGCAGATCTAATCGCAGGGACATTTTTATATTCGGGTTGATTTTGATTTTTTGAAGCCATTGATAAGTTTATCAAAGTATTTTTAAGGTGGATTCTAGGTTTTTTAGATTAAAAATAAGTTTAAAATATATTTTTAGTCAAAAAAATCAAGACCATGTTTTTCTAGCAACATCTAGTCGTTGGATTCTGTAGAAAGCAAACAGTGCATTGTCTATTATATTTTTTTTTAATATTTGCCTTTTTAAAAAATTACAAAAAGTAAAGATAAGCCTGTCTATGCAGGCTAGGCCGAAAAGCCTACACACTTGGATTATTTTTATTTAGATTATTTTTATTTAATTTCCAGCTATGATAGGCCAGTGGCCTATGCATCTAAGCTCCTTTTAGTTTTTATTTTTTATTATTTTATGTTTGAGTAAAAATAAATGATCAAAAAATCATTGAACTTAATTAAGTCCATGAGTTAAGTTATAGATTTACCTGTTAATCACAATAGGTAAATTATTATTTTTTTTTTCTTGTTTTTTGTTTAGTACTTTTCTACCCCTTATTTTTTTTTTAAATAATTTTATTATTTGTTATCAATAATTTATTTTTTTATTTAACTCAAAACTAAAATAATGCAATTTCATCATTTGTTATCAATGATCTACTTTTATTATCTCGATGTCATGTGCTTATCACGGTTTTTTTACTTTAAAAAAATATTTTATAAAAAAAATTATATACTTTATTGTTATATAATTAAATAAAAAATAATTTTTAAAATATAATATCCATTTAATATAATGATGTACATGACTTATGTTGCAAGTTTGCTTGGTTAATTTTAATTCACTAAATTTTTTTAATTAAATTATATTTTTATTGATTTTTGAATTTATTATTTTTAAGGTTACCCCTACGGATTCGCAAGTTAATATTAGATAAAAATATATTTCAATTCATGATTAAAATCTATTTCTTTGTCAAGAAGACACTTTACAAATACTTGTACATTATTTTTTTGCACTTTAAATTTTTTTGTTTGAAACCCCAGCGTAGTGATAGCTAATAAACTAGTTATATCTATTATACGAGAAAGAGAGTTTACGTTGCCATTATCGATCGCTTCAAGTTATTCTATTTACCCGCTTGGCTACAGCCCTTCATTTCCTTAGCCTATTTAATAATGTTATTCATTAAATTCTTCAATATTTATCATTATTCTTTTTCATTTACCTTGACCCATCATTCATCTACTAGAAACTCTTCTTAGGTCCACCATAAGCCAAAAAGATTGAAGATCCCATTTTGAATTACAACAAGTCGACATTGCAATGTCATTTTCTTTGCGTGCAGGTTCCTACCAACATCCATCTTTTTTTTAATGAAAGCCTCTTCTCTAATTACCAAGACAACATCCCATCAATATCCCTTTAAATTCTAGAACTCCCTATGGTCACACCCATGAATCTTTAATTAGGACCGGTTTGGTAGATTAACTTGAGATCTAACTAATTTGATGGTTGAACTTATCCGGATAAAATTAAAAATTAAGATAAATAAAAATTTAACAAAACCTGATTGACTAGCCTGATTGACCTATGATCCCTTGAAGTTAATTAATTCTTTTAAATTTTGTTAAATTGATTTTCAAATTTAATTTTACTTTCGTTAAATCATTCTTCGACTTATCTAGTTAATAATATTATAATTTAATTATATTTTTAGTATTTTGACTTGTTGCAATTCAAAAACTAATTTATTTGTGTTGCAAAATTAGTTTTGGATTTGCAATTTATAATGTTTTTTAAATAAAAAAATGTAAAATATAAAAGAACTTTTTAAAGATCTAAAATTAAATTATCACAATATCCATAGCTGCGCGTAGCAATTCCACCATTTTTTGGCTATGTTAACGCCGAATCAAGACTATTCTTGTGTCCATACTAGGGATTCGGACTCGTTAAGTCCGCCAACAACTCATATCTAGTTTTATATAAAGAAAAGGAAGGAGTTCTCCATGGATGAGAATGAAACCTTTGACCTGTAAAGTTGGAATCATCGCTCTATACCATATCTCTCGGAATTCACTTTCCAAAAGGAACAACTTTCCTGCAAACAAACGGAGCCAGGGAAGTTGTTTGCAGGAAAGTTGTTTCCTTTTAGAAAGTGAATTCCGGAGAAAATGAATTCCTGAAAAGTAAAGTATTTTCCAATGTTTGGTAGTATTATGGAAAATGAAAAATGAAATTGAAAAATAAATATTCAAAACAAAATATATATAGCAATCAAAAGTTTGAGGATCAAATTTGATATAATCAGCAAATAATGATATTTTTAAATTTTTACAACTTCCGAAAAGTGTTTTCCTCCCAAATTTTTCAGGAAAACATTTTCCTGAAAATCAAGTCAAATTTTCCTTTGACTGGAAAGTGTTTTTCGTTTACCAACTTTTCTAAC